TAATTTGGGCACGCCTTAATTTATTCGTCAAAGTTATTTCGTGCCATTGGATAGACCGGATGCAGCTCCCTCGATATTACAAACGCGCAATTTCGTTAGCAAATATGGACTGCGCAATAAAGGCTACAGTGTATGTATAGCATCGTGAGGTCTATGTAACATTTTTAAACTCTTTTTATTTCCAGTCTTTTGTCTCATTTTGCTAAACGAGACAACCTGTAGACTTGTTATCGTAACGAATAGGGTTATTAACAAGGTCATTAATGGCTAATGGCTATTAACTATTACAATAATATCATCCCTATTTGACTGTTATTTTGAGTTATGTTCACTGTCTGATGATAACTGAGGTCATTTGCCTACAGCGAAAAGGATCAACGTTAAAGTAAATAACAATCGTATGAGAGTACAATACACTCATCCCACGCTCTGTGAACATATGTAGTGTCTCATCATCTCGTTATTAGAAATCACAATGAAAGTTTGAGCAAAATGATTCAGTCGCTCAAGTTATCAGCTACGGAGCAGATTCACTCCAGGGGAGAGGATATGTGTATGTATATATATGTGTGTATATATAAACACACAATAACACCACACATATTTTATATATCTATATATTTATATATGTATGTATGTTATATATATATATATATATATATTATATTATATATATATTGTGTGGTGTGTGTGTGTGTGGTGTGTGTGTGTGTATGTATATGCATATATAAATAGAAAGAGAGTGAAAGAAGAGAAGAGAGGATACTTGTACTTGCGCACACTTACACATGCGCGCGCGCACACACACACATATATACATACATATTTTTTTATTTACTTATTAATTTCTTTATTGATCTGTTTTACATATACTATATATATATAAATGATATATCACATTCATTTTATCTATTTATGTTTACATGTATATACATACATATACTGTATATACATATGTATATATGTATATATATATTATATATATATTATATAGTACATATATACATGTATTACATATTTATGCGTACATATATACATACATATATATATTATATATATATATATATATATTATATTATATATATATATATATATGTGTGTGTGTGGTGTGTGTGTGTGTGTGTGTGTGTGTGTGTGTGTGTGTGTGTGTATGATATACATAAATATATACATATAAAACATACATATAAATATTATAGATAGATAGATAGATTAAATAGATATGTATATATACATATATATATATACATACATATACATATACATATATGTAATATATATAATATATATATATATATATATATATATGCATATATGCATACATATATACATATGCATATATATATTTATGTAATATATGTCCATACATATATAGACATATGTGTATATATATGTATGTATTACATATCTATGTGTGCCATGTAGTATATATATAAAATATATGTATGTATATGTATGTGTGTGTAATATATACATACAATATTATTATATATAATATATATATATATATATATATATAATATATATATATATATATATATATCACAAACAACTGATAAGAAAACCTTTCTTTAGGGTTCTTATCGCCGCTGACCCTCGGGCGCTGACCCTTCGGAGCGGATGTCGTGTCGCCCTTTCTCTCCACTGTTGCCATATACCCGAGGAGCTTCGATGTTGTTGTTGTTGTTTTGGTATCACTGCTGTCGTTATGCGATGTGGTAGTCCCGTTGTTAGTTTAGTTGTTACTGTTCGATAAATGGTGTTGTTAGTTCTCATTATTATTATCTTAGTTATTATTATTATTATCTTGGTTCTCATTATTATTATCTTGGTTCTCATTATTATTATCTTGGTTCTCATTATTAGTATCTTCATAGTTATTATCACTGATGGTATTATCGCTATTATCATCATGGTAATGATGATAATGCGATTAATTTTCTATATTCCTTTTACAGACCAATATCACTTTTGTTAAGAAAAGCTGTTTGAAAAAAAAAACTTTCTTAATTCTATGTGTTTTATGTCTTTTATCCAAATCCTTTAATGATTTAATCACATATTTCTCCTCTTCAGATCGGCAGCGGGGCCTGATGAAATATATAATACGGACATGCGTATACACAGGAATAAATGCATATCTGTCTATCTATGTGATAGGTATACCTTTTGCTACCTACCTATCTATCTATATATCTGTCTATCTATCTATCTATCTATCTATCTATCTATCTATCTATCTATCTATCTATCTATATATATATATATATATATATACATATATATATCTGTGTGTGCGTGTGTGTGTGTAACCCAGCTATATCTATATCTAATTACTATATGATACATATATATATAATCTTACATGTTTGTCACATACGTATCTTCACACATACATATACATATGCATATACGCCTGACCATTGCTTCCTCTGTTCATTCCTCTCTTCTTGCCTCACCAGACATTAGAATGTTGTGTTGTCTATCTCTTCCACAAGAGCTATGTATTGATGTAACGCTTGCTTGTTCATCACCGTTCGTCACATGCTAACAACGTGACTTGGTGCGATCTTTTAACCAGTGTATAGGAGATCAAGCAGACCCTGCGGGGAGCTAAGGAGCAACACCTTGCTCCGAGGAGCTGCCGCACTCCAGCACCTTATTCAGTAAAGGAGTCAAGACATCTTGGTTGTCTACCTTAAACCCCTTGCTCGCCATCTACCAAACTCTTGTAGGACCCAACATTTGGGCTCTTGCAGTGTGTGTGTGTGTGTGTGTGTGTGTGTGTGACTCCGGATTCGAACACAGCGTGCGGCTATAACAACAAAGTGATAACTACAGATAGATTGCAACAGCTGGGTACATTTCACGCCTTCAAAAAGTAGGATGTTTATCTTAAAAAAAAAGACACTGCACTCGGCGCTCAGCAAACATATCCTCTCGCATCTGAATTTCCTCTCACTCCAAGGAAACTTCTGCAGATGTTGAAAGCAATGCAGATCCAGTTCCCTGCAACCTATCAATGGGAGGCTGGATTCTGCAACACGCTCACGGTTTCGACGTCGACTTGCGGTGTTGCCTGTCGAGTGATTCTCTGATTTGATTGATTGATGGCTGGTTGATTGTTGCAATTTTCATTACTGTTATTGTTCATAGTTTTTTGTTTTTGTTTTTTTGTGGGATGTTTGCGGTTTTGTGACATTTGTAATTGTTCTGTGACATTTTTTTGTTTCTTGTTTTTCTAGCATTTTGTAAGTTCAAATTTGTTTTGAAAAAAAAAAAAACTTTTTTTTTACCATTGTAAGTTCAAATTTGTATTTTCATGATACTAACGATTTTATTGCTTTTGTTTGTCTGATATTCTAAAAAAAAAATCTGGCATTTCTTGTCATTATGCTTTATGTTATCCTTATACGTGATTTCAAATTTCCTTTTTTATTTCAGAACTCCCGGTATAACCAACGACTTTCTTGTTTTCATTTTCGTTGCATTTCAAATAATACCGGACTGTCTTATAATTTCATTGTCGATCCTACCCTTATACGAAAGTTCAGATTTACATTTTTCATTTGTTTACATTACAGAGTTCCCCACGCTACTAACGACTTTCTTTCTTCGTAGCATTTTAAATGAAAAATGGATGTTTTTTTAATCATTTTTTATCTTACCCTTATACAGTTTTTACTTTTTATCTATCTGTTTCTATTTATTTGCTTATTTTTTAACTTCCGTAGCATTTTAAATGAAAGGGGGATTTATTATTTTTCATATTATTCTTATACATTATTTCAAATCTATTCTTTTCATGTTTTTTCAGATTACAGGGTACCCTATATTTCTGACTTTTTTCTTCTTCTTTCGTAGCATTCAAATGAAAAAAGATATATCATATTAATCATATTTTATCTCATTATACATAAGCTCAAATTTATAGTTTCCATACTACCAACCATTTTACATTTTTTTCTTTTTATTACGGTTTCCATATTACCAGCCGTTTTTTTTTTATTATTATTATTATTACGGTTTCCATACTACTAATAGCTTTCATTTTTTTTTTTTTTTTTTTTTATTGCGGTTTCCATACTACCAAACGTTTTTTTTTTCTTTTTATTACGGTTTCCTTACAACCAACGCTCTTCTAAAAGTTCTTGAGACGGAAAAAAAGACATCCCTTTTCCAAGATGTGCAACGTCTTCGAACCACAAGACTTACTCAAGATGGTAGGTGTCGCACGGCCATAAACCACCAACCATTCGTAATAGTTAATTGGCGCTTCACGAAAACAGGGTTGTTTAGGTAGGTAGGAAATGGTACGATATTTTTTTTCTTGTATTTTGTGTTCTTCTTTCTTACTTTCTTTCTATTTTATTTTATGTGGAAATATGTTGTTGGTGTCACTATCATTGTGAGGATGATTATCATTGTTATCAGTATTGTTATTTTTGTATTAGTATCATCATCACCATCTTTCTCACCATCGTTATCATCACTGTTATTTGTATTATCAATATCATTATTATTATTATCATTATTATTATCATTTTCATTACTATTATCATTATTATCATTATAACTATATTCATCATCATCATTATCATTAACATCATTATTATCACTATCACATCTTTATTGTTATTATGATAATCATTTGTATTTTCTTATTTTCATTTGTATTGTTATCATTACAATCTTTATCACGGTTATTATTATTAGTGTTATAATTATCATTATCAATGCAATTATTATTATTATCATTATTATTATCATCAATTATCTCTCCATCTATCTCTGTCTGTTTAGCAGTCAATCTCTGTCTGTCTGTCTCTTCCTGTATATCTACAATATCTGTTTGTCTCCAGCTATCTATGTGTTTATCTATTAGTCTCCATCTATCTCTTCACTTAGCTATCAACTTACGAGTCTCCATCTATCTATCTGCTTATCTATCTCTCCTCGTATGTCTGTGTTTGTTTTCGGATATCTATAAAAATACACTATTTTATATTTTAATATTTATTTATCATCAGAACGAAAAAAAAGTCCATCTCACGCGCCACAGAATCACCTTAATCACAATGTCAAAATATAATCAATTATTTCTCCCGGAGTCTCAGTTCCTTCGTCAGTCCGGTTAATCACTCATTTCTGGTCTTGTGAATTACCCGACGCAGGCTTCTGATAATCTCTGATAATCACAGGCTTTGGATGATCGAAACACCCGTTAGATTCAATTGATCGTTCATTCACCCGCTGACACGTTCAAAAGTCCAACCGTTCGTCCGTTGACACGTTCCAAAGTTCGGCCGTTCACCCATTCCCCCGTTCGGCCGTTCCCTCGTTCGGCCGTTCACCCATTCCCCCGTTCGGCCGTTCCCTCGTTCGGCCGTTCACTTCCCGGGTCGCCTCAGGATCTTGGCGATGGCCTTCGAGAAGTCCTGGTTGAAGAAGGTGTAGATGACGGGGTTGAGGGCGGAGTTGATGTAGCCGAGCCAGATGATGAAGTTGATGAGCCTGGGGCTCGGGGGCGCGCACGTCCGGCAGAAGGGCAGGATCACGTACATGAGGAAGAAGGGCAGCCAGCACACCACGAAGGCGCCCATGATGATGCCCAGCGTGCGGGCGGCGCGGCGCTCCTTCGACAGGGAGATCTTCCGCGTCCTCCGGATCACTTGCTGGATCCCGTTGTCGTCGTCGGGGAGTGTGAGGTCGTTCCTCTTGGCGCCGCCGTTCTGCAGCGCGTCGTCGTCCGGGCGCCCAGCGTGCATCCCGTTGGAGGCGGGACGGGTCGGCGTGGGTGCCGTGTACGTCGAGAGGTGGTCGATCCGCGAGAACCGGATGTTGCCGAGGTCGAGCACTTGGCTGTGCCTCGAAGCGCGCTTCCGGAGCCTGCTGCGGATGGAGCGGAAGATCTTGACGTTGAGGACGGCCATGATGAGGAGCGGGCAGTAGAAGGACCCGACGGAGGAGAAGACGACGTAGCCCTTCTGCTTGGTGGGCGCGCAGGGCGTGTCGCGCGAGAAGGCCTCGGCCCAGTCGTTCCAGCCGAACAACGGCGGCAGGCAGATGACCACGCTGATGGCCCACACGAGGCCGATCATGACCAGCACGCGCCTGCGGGTGCGCTTCTGCGCGTAGTTGATGGCGTCGCTGATGGCCCAGTAGCGGTCGAGCGCGATGGCGCACAGGTTGAGGATGGAGGCCGTGCAGCACAGGATGTCGATGGTGAGCCAGAACCTGCAGAGGTGGAGGCCGAAGATCCACTTGCCGAGGATGGTGTAGGCGGCGCCGAGAGGCAGCACGAACACGGCCACCGTCAGGTCGGCCACGGCCAGCGACGCGATGAAGAAGTTCTGCACGATGCGCAGCGGCCGGTACGAGAACACGGACAGGATGACGAGGGCGTTGCCGACGATGGTGAAGACGGTGATGGTGCTGAGGAGGACCACCGAGAGGACGAACTCCCACACCGGCATCTCGATCTCCAGGTCGGCCAGCACGAAGCCTCCGCCCGACCGGGACACGTCGAAGGCCCATCCGGGCGGCGCGGGGGCGCTCTGGTTCTCGGCCGGACTCGACACCGTCATCCCGCTGACGAAAGCTGACCCTGGCTGACTCCGGGCTCCCCACGAAGCCGCTGACTTGAACCTCTGACCTTATACCCTCATCCTGTGCCGGCGCTCAGGTACGTGTTCTCGCAGAGCTCGGTCTGGGAAGAGAAAAGTGGTGTTTATTCACGTCATTTTAATTAACTTGTGATTTCCATTCAGCAACGATATCCTAAGAAATGAATAATCATAATCCAGTTGAGATTAATATGAATATAAAAGTTATATATGCCCTTTTGCTACGGAAGTGCTTTTCATTCTGTTTGCCTGTTTGTTTTGCTTTCAGATTTTCTTTTTCGAACCTATCTAAAATTGACATGCCTCTTGCACACTGTCAATATTAATAAAAGCGTCTGCGTTGCGACTTTGAATTTCCTTCTGAGATGGTTTCGTATGACGCTGAATTGCCTTTCTAGCAGCATGTGCCAGAAGATTGGGAAAGCAGAAATAACAAACAAAAAGTAATATTACATTTGACTTTAGTTTTTTGATGAATGCCCTCCTTTGCAACCATTTAGTAACTGCATTGTTTGTACTTCTTGTAAGTGATAAACAAGAAGCACAAAGAATATGAATGACTAATGTTTTCATTAATCAGAAGTTTATGATCCTAAATTATTATCAAAACAATTCCACGAAAAGTGATACAGGCTGTACATATTCTCATGTGATTTCTTGATTGTTTTTGTATACATCCACCAAAAACATATAACACACATACTATAAACACTTACACGTCAGTATAAAGAAATCGTCATATTTTTCATCCATTTCTTTCAGTACGTGATGAATAGTCTTTCTGTGACAAAATATCAGATCACAGTGTTATCCAGAACGTATTGTATCCGCCAAGTCCTTTGAAGAACAGAAGCATTAGTCTCACCGAGTCAGCTTGCTCATATTCGTTATTCACACAGACTCTACTCTACGTCGGCGACTCCCTGTTCTGCACGTCCATCATTCTAGAATAAATCAGCTGTATTAACATACATATAAAACAACAACACAGCTTTCCCGGCATATGTTGCAGAAATACCCCCGTTCTCACTCTCTCTCGTAAAAATGGTCAATGAACCTGTTGTTATGGCCGGTGTAGATATACAATCTCTTTACGAATGTTCCACAGTCGCCACTCCTCGCACGCACGAGACACATTGCAGTCTCGAGGCCACGGAAAGCTAGACTGGACAGCGTTTCCTCTGCAACTCGAAC